AATTTGAAATAACCAATGCATTGTGCATTGCAACATAACTCTAAGCAATTAGTTTTACATGATGCTGATAGAAAGGCAGTGGAATTACTCATGAGATATGAAATAGTTAAGTGTGTCATTTGGGAGTAAATTCCTGCGGAGCTGGACTTCGACATGCACACAGGTGCATTGAATGTTCAGGGATGCCGGTTAAAAAAAACCGAAGGTTTTAATCATTTTCACTCATAGGTGTAATGAGAAAAGTTGTTTGAGATAATGAGAACAGCTATTTTCATAAGTGACGTATGTTATATAAGTAATCACAAAAGTGTATCAAATGCCATTGTATGTAAAATAGCGCAAAATTATGGTGTTTTCTAGAAAGTTGTTCATGATGATCAGAATGAATATTTGCTAAACAGACATATCTGAGACGTAATCGCTTAAGTGACTTATACGCCACAATATTTAAACAATCCCTGAAATAGCTTTATTATTTATTTGTTCATATAAACGTCACTACAAACAACATTTTTTTATTTCTACAATTGCATTGCACCAAACTGACAGAGTGAAAAACTAATTCGTTTTTATAACAGATTAACCAATTTTCAGCAACATGTTCGTTTAAGAGCGATCGACAATAAGCCACGGATAGTTAAAAATCTTTCAAAATTGAAAAAAAAAATGCAGCCCTATGTTTTAGGGTGGAATTCGGTGGAACTTTTTTATTAATCGATCATCACAGTTTGAATCCTTTTCTTGAAGATATCTGGCAATTCCAATTTAACGATCTTATTTCTTATTAAGATAGAAATTTATCCAATACTCAATTTAAATATGCTCCTCTAACCTTCATTGTTATTCTATTTTTTGCTTAAATTATTTACGTTGTTTTATTTTGTTGTAGAGTAGTGAAAAGTCAAGACATTTCAAAATAAAAACTGCTGTAAAATGCTTCAACGAATTTTTTTTATCAAAAATAAGCTTTTCGAGCGATTAATCTTTTTGTAGCTAATCAACAAATTTTTATCAAAATAAACAAAACAAATCACAGTGTATAATTTTTCACAGAATTTCCAAATAAACCTCTACAACTTTGCTGAAGACATGATAGGTTTCGACAATATTTATATTTTAACTCATTAGTAGTATTTTACACAGGCCCTGTTGGAAAAGAAGTCGTGTCCCAATACGCATTTTTAATACAAACTAAGCGATCGATTCAGCCTCTGGTCGTGAATAGAAAAACGTCAAAAAGAGTGTTGTGAGCAGAAATGTTTGCCTTGAGACATAGGAAGCGGAACACTGATAAATTGATTCATCTGAGATGTTCTACTTAATCTACAGTCGAAACATTTAATTCTGTATGATTTTTGCAAAGATCCTGCTAGTGTTCAGCAATATCTTTGTTGAGAAAAATGGAAAATTAGAATAGTGCCTTAGTGGTTATGATCTTCCGGATTTCTTGTGTGCGAATAGTTTAGATGCAGACCAGTTCAGAGCTGTGGAAAATCGTTCAATAAGGCAAATACCGATGGCAATTGACAAGATGTTCAAAGGAAAATACTTTAATTTGCGTCGTGAAAAACCAATATTCTGATGTAAACAAACATTTTGGTTGACGTTTCCTCTCGAACTCACCTAGAGCCCTCTAAATTGGTGGTGCACTGAAAAGGCCATATGAATAATTGATAACATAAAATGGCATCTTTACTGAAATGGAGTTCCAACAAAATCGAAGCCAACAAGTTAACAAAATTTAAAAAAAATATCTTCAATTTAAATGGAATTGCTCATGTTTTATTTATTTATGTAACAAAATCAATATATTGAAAACCAAAGCCGTGGTAATTTTGACGTCTTGCTAAGATTTTTGTATTTTCGACTAATAAACAACTTTGTCGGTGACGCCAACTCTCCAGAAATATTAATTGAAAAAGATACATTTTGAATAGCAGTTTAGTACACATTTAGTACAATTATTTTATTATTAAAAGATGCCAATTTTATTTCAAAATGAAATAGATGATTCGTTTTGGAGTTATTATTTTTTTGTTCCACTAGGTTGCATACTTGAATCACTATGCAATGTGTGGAGTTATCTTGAACCGCAATAGAAACAGAAAATTCAAACTTTGCCTGAAGGATAAACTTCTAATATTTAAACAAGTGTTTAGACCGGCCATGCTTTACGCTGTGTCAATATGGTCTGGTTGTTACACTACCAGAATAAATGTACTTCAAAGGATTCAGAACAAAGTTAGAGATGACAATTGTTATACTGAGATGCAGGTATAGAAAAACTGTTCAAAATACTGAATTGCCGAAGCAAAAACAATTTAAACACTCTTAGATATATCATGACAGTTAATGTTGTAGTAGCTGGTGCACCTAGGTTAAACAAATAAAGAGTTTAAAAAAATCTGGAACCGCAAAGGGCGAAATCCTCAAGACATTTCAGGCTTATTGTAGGAACAATTCATACAATTGAAAATTGGTACAGAATTAAACTTTTCAACTGTAGATCAAGTTTTGGAGCATTCCAGATGAATCAATTTATCAGGAAAAGTGAAACAGCGTTCCGCTATGTATCAAAGTAAACATTTCAGCTCATAACACTTTTTGAAGTTCTTCTATTCACCACTAGAGGTTGAATCGATCGCTTAGTTTCTATTAAAATGGCAGATACAAACTAAGCGATCGATTCAACCCCTGGTGGTGAACAGGAGCACGTCGAAAAGAGTTTGATGAGTAGAAATGTTTACCGTGAGACTTAGAAAGTGGACCAATTTTCACTTTTCCTGATAAATTGATTCATCTGAGTTGCTACAAAACTTGATCTACAGTTGAAAAATTTAATTCTGTATCATTTTTACGAAGGGTCCTGTTGGTGTTCAGGAATATTGTCGTTGAAAAAATGGTGGTGCATCAAAAAGGCCTATTGGCAATTCAAAGTTGGCACTCGTGGAGAATAGAAGAACTATGAGAGTGATGATGGTTTCAAAATTTTTCACGGGGAATCTTAAAATGCTTTTATTTTGCAAATGGAGCATTTTATTAAAATCTGGTTGCTGCTACACTTCCGTTCTACGCATATCTGTCCCATGTTACTTTTGGACGTTTTTCACTTTTGTTCATAAAACAGTACTTTTTTAGGTAAACTTTCGAATGAAAATAGAAAAACATGTTATTTGTTTTGGGCTTATTTAAAAACAACATCAAGTCTAATTGTCCAATGTTGAAATTCTACGCATAACTGTCCCACAAAGAATTTTTTTACTGAATCTTTTATTAACGAATCGATTTGAGTGCACGAATGATTTAAACAGGATTTATATGATCAAAAGAAACTCAATGAGTCGTTTCGGGAAGTAGAAGCTTTATTTTATGATGAAAAATAGAAGTAGAAGCTTTATTTTATCATGAAAAATATTAAGAGTAACGGGAATTCATATTAAAACACCAGATTATAGTTCAGATGTCAAACTAAGCATTATTAGAGTAATAATAATCAATTGATACGAAGCAGTGTAATGATCTTAAAATAAACCAAAGACAAAATAACATGATTTAAAATTCAATTGTATAAAGCAACGATGTATAAACAACTTCCAATATTGGCATGATTGAAAAAGTACGTATTATTGTCTAAAACAACTCGAAGCAACGCAGTTAACAATTATGGCACTTTCTGTCACTTGATGAGTTCATTATTCTAGTTGATAGCTGCTACCATATTTTGTAGTTAAAATATGGATCCTGTTGACTGATTCAGAATATCCGTTTTCGTATAGTCCTTTCGTAAATTTAGTCGTTAGAATGCTCTCAATATACTACCGTTGTTGCAGTTGGTTGAATATAATGAAATCCTTACTGTGTATGTTAACTTTTCCAAAGTCTTTCTTGAAATCATCGATCGACAATCTTATTGTGATCTGCACAGAGCATTCATCATTTGTTTCTCAATATGCCCATACTTATAGGCTTTATAGATGTAGCAAACGACGATTGCAGCAATGTCAACTTATTGTTGGTTTCAGTTAATGATGCAAACCTATGCAAACTATCCACTTTCAAAACTTCACGGAGAACTCAAGCACGCTCATGTAAACACAACTACAACCACAAGAGTAAAGACGTCAAACGCAACGTGGCCATCAAAGCAACACGGAAAGTAATAGTTCTTAGTGGGACTGAAATGCGTAGAATTTCCTACTTCATAGCAAATTTCTCGGCATAACAGTCCCACTGAATCGTTTTCGTATAAAAAGAGGCTTGACTAGTTTCATTGAAGGTCATTTCTGTAGTTTTCACTTGAACAAATTGATTCTGTTGAACAAACAATGCACTAACTTATTTTAACTTATATTTCTTCCAATGAGCAGAAATAATTCGAAAAATTATTCGCGATTTTCTCAGATGTTACTTTTAGAACATGGGACAGATATGCGTAGAACGGCAGTACAGTTGTAGAAAAGCTGAAATCTATGTCTACACATAAAAATCTGAATAGAAATTATTTTTTCTTTATTATATATCTATTAAGTAGTCTTTAAGTTTTCTATTAGCATTAATCAGATTTAAATAAAATGCTGCATTTGCAAAATAAAAGCATTTTAAGATTGCACTCGTATACCTCGCCGTGTAAAATTTTGAAACCATCATCACTCTCATAGTTCTTCTATTCTCCACGAGTGCCAACTTTGATTTGCCAATCTTTAGGGAGTCGGCAACGATTAATTGCATTCCACAAAATCCCCAAACCGTTATCTTGAAATCTTCTGTCCCCTGTTTTGAAACGAAATAAAACATCTGTCAATTTAACTTACGTAATGTAAACAATGCACTGTGAACTAGTTCTACCAAAATTTTCAACGGATTTCCACTCAAATGGTAAACATTTAGAGCTATTTGCGGATGATGTAATTTTATCGTGGACGCCCTTTAAAATTACGAATTATCAAGCTAACACCAAGCCAATTTTCTAATCCTTGACTGTTTTCTGTTTCCCTTTCCAGAATTGCACTTTATGTATATGAATATTTATTACACGTAGGAGCATCGAAAGCAGCACAAACATTCTTATCGGAGGTAAGTTCTTCAACTCGTTGGCATTATTCCCGGCGATCCTTATTCTCTCATCATTTCCCTTCTCTTTGTTTCCCCCTTCTCCCTCATCGCTAGATACGGTGGGAGAAGAATATCACACTAGGCGAACCTCCGGGCTTCCTGCACTCGTGGTGGTGCGTATTTTGGGATCTCTACTGTGCGGCACCGGAACGACGGGACACCTGCGAGCATTCATCCGAGGCCAAAGCATTTCATGATTACGTGAGTATCATCAAGTCGTGTATTGAAGGTTTATTTTTTTTTTAGTTTTGAAAGTTTGGAAATATTTTTCGTTTGTTAAATCGAAACAGATTTAAAAGCAGGAGAGATGAAAACAGAGCTATAATTGTGCACAGCCGTGCTTACATATGGTGATAGAAAGTAAGCCGATTTACGGTGTTTTTGTGAGCACTCGCGCGAGTTCCATGTTTATGTACTTCTCGGCAGTAAATCGGTCGGCGATGAGACCAGGAAGGAAGGAGATGAGCCAAAAAATAACCCGTTGGGGCTGGCGCTTGGTGGACGAGATCATCCACGGCGGTGTCTGTTCGCTAGGGCTAGGGTGGAACGTTGAAAAGGAAATACTTTCTCGCCTCACAACTCCACCAGCTGCATTCGATACACACTAACAGTAAGCCCCGTGTGGCTCATTTTTTGTACACCATCTGTGTTGCTTCATCCAACATGTGTACATAGCTTAACCATTGAGACCTACATAGAAGCCCAACTACGGAACGGCGGACGAAAGTTAAAGCTTGGGCTCTGTAGGTGTTCGATTTACACCTGAGAGAGTGAGCTTGTGCTCCAGATAGCCTCTCATAGGCCGGGGTGATTGATTGTACGGTATCTTCCGAATTCCACCACAAGTTGCCGATCAGCGGATGGACGGATGGATAGGTGTTACAGTTGATGAGCGAGTTTCCCACAGTTTCGCATTTATGTACCTATGCTTGTACGCACATACGGCCGAGCGGGAAATGGGGCCGAATATAGAGAGTGCAGAAGTAGATACTGCACACCACGTTTTTGTTTCGCACTTGCCGGAATGTGATGTGCGGAATTGCGGTTGGTTTGTGTGTACTCTGGGACAATGAGCGACGTATGTTTGGTAAATATTTTGACACGGTTTATCGTTCGGGCTGGACATGACAAGGTATGACTATATTTTAATAAAACTTGCTTGCCAGGGTGTGGTGGGATATGAGAATGCTTATTTGGGTCTTTTTTTTAACTAGTTCGTTTACTTACTAGGCTCAGTCGTGTGTGACATTTAGTGGAGCCAAAAATCCGTAATTTTTTAATTAACATTTTAAACAGCAGTAAATTTAGGTTAGTATTACCAATTACTCGTGGCATGTAGGTAGGACACAGGTTTCTTAAGCCTCCTTCAGAAACTATTCTCGAACGGTTGACCAAATCCTGGCTGGGCAGGGGCAAGTAGCACAGAAACAAGTGAATTATAAGACTGGGACACAATGGCTCGAAAATGTGTGGAAAGGAGGGGATGATCACATCAAATTCTAACATCAGACAAACAATAGAATTCGTAGATTCATTCCCAATACATCTCTTACTTCACTGAAAGGTTGTCTACCTCGGGCCACTAGGGTCTCCAATAGTCGTGCTCTGGAGGCGTCATTACCCGGGCAATGCCAAACTGTGTGATCGACGTCATCATAACCGGTTCTGCACCTACATATATTGCTGTCAACGAGTTTTATTCTATAGATATGTGCGTCTAGCGAGTAGTGGTTGGACATAAGTCTTGACATCACGCGAATGAATCCCCGACTTACATCCAGACCTTCGAACCACGCTTTCGAAGAAACATTTGGAGTAATGGAATGTAACCACCGCCCAAAAGAATTACTTGTCCAATCGTTTTGCCAACATAGAAGAGAACTCTGACGTACTTATGGGAAAAATTCATCATGTGAAATTATTCTATCATAAATCTCGCCTTGTTGTGCGCCCACCTTTGCGAGAGAGTCTGCATTCTCATTGCCTGGGATTGAGCAATGTGAGGGGACCCATACAAAGGTAATCATATATGATCTTTCGACCAGCACACTCATCTGCTCCCTTACCTTTGAAAGGAAATAAGATGAGTGCCTACATTGTTTCAACGACCGAATAGCCTCAATCGAACTAAGACTATCCGAGAAGATGAAGTAATGGTCTGTGGGCATGTCGGAAATCATCCCCAACGGGAAGTTGATTGCTGCTAGCTCAGCAACATAAACGGAGCAAGATTCCTGAAGTTTCCGAAAGGCGGTTGCGTATTAATTGAAGACACTGAAGCCAGTGGATCCATCAATGCGCGATCCATCAGTGAAATATCTTGTATTGCTATTGACTTGTTGGTACTTTTCAGCAAAAAGACGGGGATACTTTTTTCGGGCTTGATAATCCTTGTCGGCAGACACTGGTATTCTGACAAAAATATAGATCTCAATCATAGACAGCTACTGAATATCATCGATTCAGGAGATTTAAACCATGAATGTATCCTATTTTGTCAATTTACACACCACTGGATTTGTATAGTTTAGTGGCGTCCCGTAACCTCCTTTTTTACCTGTGCACCAACTTCCAAAACCGGATTTAATGCCATATTCATACTGAAGAAACTCGATCAAATCTGTCGTTCTTACTTTAAAAAGTCTCAGAAATCGAATGGAATTGGTTTCACTTCGTGCAGAATTGCTAAGGTAACTTTTGCACCAAAATTTCTTATTTTGTAAAAATAACCCTCAGAACTTTCAATCGTGATGATGAAACTTCCTTCCTTCCCGTTGCTTGGGCAACGTTTTTTTAAACACTTTCAAATGTTTTGGAAAGTGTTTCTATTCGCCCCATTTTACGGTATGCTCTATGGAGTGGAGTAGTGCCATAACTAGTACCATTGCTTGTATGGTATAGTGCAATAACTAGTGCATTTTCCATAACTGGCTTGCCTATTTTAATTAAATGGCGTCCCAAATGTTATTTTCAAACTGGATTGAGCATTACGGTGGTATCACTTTTGCTCCACCAAGCCCAATCGATTTCAAGCCATGGATCATGGAATCATGGAAGAAAGCTGATTGCTCAGTAAGCAAAATTGGTCGCCACAAGGCCATCGAATTCATTATTTCAGAAAACAATTAGGACTAAGTTCCTGCTCAACTTGTTCTTATTACGATAACAACTACTCTTTAGGAAGATTTGTTGTAGATTTCCGATCAACACGTCTTTTCAAAAACTCTAATAGGGGAAATGTATGTAATGTCGGCCAGAGTATCCCTAATTTGGGCCCATACATAAATTCAGCAATCGACTAAATTTTCAATAGCAACCAAAAATATCCATTAGTGCCGTCCCAATGACGCGTTCATCTAGATCAAATTGATCAATATCAGATTTTTAGTGATGGGCCCAATGTTAGATCCATAGCCCAACATTAGAGCCATTTCCCCTATTATTTCTTTTACGGACTCGTTCCTCCAACCAAATTTCGTTACGCTTCATCTCATATTAAGAATAAATCAGATTTACACTAAAACTCTATAATGTGGAGCTTGAGATTGAGCCCAAAATTTTATGCTGAATTTCAATAAGCAAAATCGGTCACCACTAGGACAACGAGCTCCTTATATCACAAAACAATAACGATCAAGTTCCCGTTCAACTTGCTGTTACTAGATTTTGGTCCCAGTGGTGAACTCACAGACGACTACAACAACTGCTATTGAGAAGGATTTGTTATAGATTTCCGATTAAAACGTCTTAAACAGTCGATCTTCTATTCAGTAAGCAAAAGTGGCAAACATCAAGCTAGCCGAGCTCCGTATTATAATTTTTGGAGCGTAAAGATTGAATTAAATTTAAACAACTATCCAGAAAGGATCTCATCCGACTGATCTCCTACATGGCCTACTAATGTTTCATAATGCTTAAATATATATATATATATACAGCCATTTCATAGCAAAACGATATAGTAGTTATCAGAATTTCGTAAAAAATTGAAGTTTTGTTCCTTATCACAAATTATTAAATAGACCCGTATATTTTTTTTATGTTGGCATTAAAGCCATTAAACTGACCATTTCCATGTTAGGATTTTCAAAAATCGATTTTTTTTAAATGATGTTTTTTAAAAATTCATACCTTATGAACCACTGGGTCGATTTCAAAGATCAACATTTAAAATGGAAGGTACTTAGAAATATTTTTTTACGAAAAATATAATGATATCCAAAAGTTGGGATTTTGTGGGCGTGTGTGTCATCCTCTATCCCTCACCCAGGCGGGGGCATTGGACAAGTAGAACTGCGAATAATTTGATCAAATCTCATGCCCTTTATGTTATGAAGACTTTTGAAGTACTAGTCTAGTAGGTAGCTTTTGAAACAAGACAGGGTGTCTTCAACAAGTCATGGGAACAGACATCACATAGACTCCGTTATTAACACTTACTACTCAGGGGGTAGAAGGTCAAGAAGAGCCACCGCCGCCAACTAAAGCTTAAACCAGGTACCTGTGGGCCTCAAACACCCCTCAAATCGCGAATTAGGCCCCAATTAGGGAGATAAACGTGATTAAAGATTTCAAAACCCCCAAACGCCCCGCGTGATTTAGGCGTTAACTAAAGAGGTAAACGTGATTTAAGATTTCGAGTCCCTCAAATCGCGATTTAGGCTTTAATTATGGGCATGAAAGTTGGAAGCATAAGCTTAAGATCCGATCAATTCAAACCAGTTCCATGAACTTCAAGAAAGCTCCGAGAACTCTAAAAATTGAAATTCGGGAACTTTAAAGAAGCCCAGGAAAATTGAAAGGATTTTTAGGACAGGTCCATTTACTTCAGGAGAATTGAGAGAACTTTACGGACACATCAAAGAACCTGTATCGACCTATAATAGAGTTCAAGGATATTGCAACAGAATTAAACAACAACAGAGAAACTCTGGGAATGAATTCCGTAATGTCCATGGTAGTTTCAGGAACTTACAAAACCTAAGGAAGACACCTTAGCGTAGATCAGTGACATTTTGAAAAATTTGAAGATTTTCAGGAAGTAGTCCCAATATCATAATGAAAGTACTTAAACATAAGGGAAGTCACTATTGTGATCAGTGTTGGCAAAATCAGAAATCCATTGATTTTTTTTCCGCTCTCATGCACTCGCAATATCATGCGTGATATTGGAACAAACTATCATGCTTGATATTGATTTTACAAGCTCGTTTGATATTGCAAGACTATTCACAACGTGCAAAAATCAAGCTGAGAGTTGACTCGACACAAAAATGATTACGTTGCACATCGATTTCTTAGAAAGAGAGAGTATAGTTTGCTATCTCTTTTTACTCTTCACCGATGACAGACACGAAGTGACTGCTGCTAGCCGTTATGGAAGTTTCGGTTGCATTCGGGTGTAAAGCAAACATCATTAAACTCAATCTCACCACAGTTTGGTGAGATTTGCAGTTGGTGAGTTTTGTTAGCTTGATATTCCGCAGTTGTTTGCTTGTTGATTTTTGTCTACGAAAATCAAGCGTGTCTTGGGCGTTGGTGAGATTTGATTTTTTGATATTTTTCCAACACTGATTGTGATAATTTTAAAATGATGATGAATTTGTTTCCTTAATTTTAGAGTGTTTTCATGAGCTTCTGGTAAATTTTCAGAACTTAAGTGAATGACATGTATTATCTCGTTTTAATTGCAGGTAAATTGCCGGACTTTAAATAGTTATCACCATTTCTGGAAATTTCAAAGAACTCAATGGGTGTTATGAAATTGCGGGAGCTTCATAGAATTCCAGAAAACGTCAAAAAAGATCATAAAACATCAGATAAAAGGGGCGACCCCGGCGTAGTGGTTAACATCCATACCTCTCACGCCAAAGTCACGAGTTCAAATCTCACCCCCGGAAAAGTCACGAATGACCCAAGAGTGTTAAAGTGACTATAACAATAAAAAAAAATAAATAAAAACATCAGATAAATTCTGAGAACATCAGGAAATTGCGAAACATTTTTAAATAAGTTCCGTAAGCTTCAGGGTTGTTTCTAGAATTGAGGAAACGTCACGGAATATCATTGCAAATCTATTAATCTCTGAAAAATGACGGGAAATTTTAAGAAGTTCCCAGATTTTCAAGAAGTTCAGGGAACATCAGATTTTTTTCGAGAACTTCATAGAAGTTCAGAGAACTCAGATGAACGAAAATTTCAAGAACTTTGGAGAAGATCAAACAATCTTAGGACTGTCCCATTAATTTCATGGAAATTATAAAAAAAAATTAAAGAAGTTTCGAGAACTTAATTGTTAGGACTTCAGGGCGTTCCTAGAATTCCTGAAAAAAATGGGAAAACTTTAAGCAGTTCCATTAACTTCCGAACAATTGTTTTGCTTTTAAGAAGTTCTAAGGACTTCCAGTGGGGCTTCCCTTAGCTCCGTCGGTAAAGGCGCAGCTACAAGACCATACTGGAGGTTTCTGGGTTCGATTGCCGGAATTTTCCGGATTGTACTTGCCACACAATTATATTAAAGGGCGAACACAAAATTATTGCAACACTTACAACTGTCTGTACCTTTATTCCTACTAGGCGAAAATTAACCAAACTTTGCATAGTTTCTCTTTGAAGTGTATTGTTTACATCCTATAAATTGCGTGATTGTCTGTTTCAATGCGGCATATCAATAATTCAACCGTATCAAGAGTTATAAACAGGTTCAAGGACCGTTTGACATTGGATCACAGGTACGGCGCAGGAAGGAAACCGGGAGCAGCATGTAGGAAGACGGAGGGAAAAGTGAAGGGTAATTTCACCCGATGTGAGGTTGCCAAAAAGGTCGGTGTTTCGCAAAGTTACGTGCTGAAGGTCAAGGCATGCATTCAAGGTTCAACACTTCCCAAACCGCGATGAACGCCAGCAAAATATTGCCAAAACCCGCGCAAGGAGCTCTATACGGAAATGTTGACCAGATACAGTTTCTGTGTGATGGTTGATGACATATTCGTAAAAGCTGACTTTCAACAAATACTAGGACAGGAATTTTACACCGGAAAAGATAAGCTCCAAGTGGATGATCGTTTCAAGAAAAAGAAAATGTTGAAATTTGCATCAAAATACCTTATTTGCACCTGTGGTAAAATAAGTCAAATATTCGTCACAAACGGCACCAAAATTTACAAAAATGAATGCCTCCAAAAACGTTTGCTGTCATTTGTGAGGCAGCACAGTAAAAAAAAAACCATTGTTTTGGTCCGACTTAGCTTCATGTCACTATTCTAAAAGCGTGCTGGAATGGTATGAGGCTAATTCGGTGCATTTTGTCCCCAAGGCCATGAATCCACCGAACTGTCCAGAACTACGGCCAATCAAAACCTATTGGGCCATGATGAAGCGGGAACTCAGAAAGAACCAAGGAGAAAGTAAAGGATGCAAATGACATGACAAAATTTGAGAAAAAGTAACCGGATACGACTGTACAAGCTCTTATGTATGGCGTGAAACAAAAGTGTCGGGCATTTTACATCTAACAACCTCCAAAAATTGATCCGCTATATGTATGCTAAGTATATGTATAGAACCACCCTACAAATTTGGTTTTTATCTGATAAATACGTGAAATTTAAGAGCAAATTCAATGTGTTGCAATAATTTCGTGTTCGCCCTTTAATGCAAAAATGGTACAGGCATAGAGGTAACTCTAAGACTAGAAGGTCCCGAAGAAACGTGCTCAACTTACTATGGTAAACAAGTGAAAAAGAGTTGCTAGTTATTGGGTTCTTCTGCCAGTCTTCGGATGGCATCCATGTTGTAATCAATCTACGTGAAGGTTAAAATACACAAAAAATAAATTTAGCTAAGAGCGTTAAACCGATTCCGATTAAACATCGATCAGAGTGGACTCTCAAGTAGAACACATAAATGAACCAACATCATTTCTTCCCATTACAGGGTTTCGTGAGTTCAGGCTACGGAGTGAACGGAATAGCACACAATGCCGGTCCAGCGCCGAGTCCGCTGGGACAGTTACCACCAAACGAGGGCATGCCAGGCGGCCCGATGGCACCAGCCGGCTTCTTCCCGGTAAGTTATGGCCAGCAATCCATTGCTCCTCACAATTTTCAATGTTCTTTCTCTGTGGTCATATATTCGTTCTCGTGTTTTCTTTCATGTTCATTTTTTTTTTTGGTGTACAAAAATCAAAACAAACTCACTTTATTTGTTTCCCCCCTCCATCATTTTTGCGCTCCATTTTTCCTCAACTCCCACAACATTTTCGGTTCAATTTATTTGTGTGTATATCCCGTTTCGTTTTGGTAGCAGTACTCGGTAATGTAAGAAAATACTCATTTAGGTTTTGTCTCTGTTTCTGTTTTAACTAATTTCTGTAATCTAAAAAATCAAACGAAAACTCTCACCCATCTCATATCATATACACCATACAGCCTGTGAAATGAAAAAAAAAAAATACAAACAAATTTGAACTAGTTCATCATTCTCGTGAGAACGCCAAACTCATTTAGTTGTACGAATTCATTCATTTCCTCGTGTCTTGCTCTTGTCTTGTTTCTGTGTCTTTCCTACATGTCAGCAAAAACCAAATCACAGTATAGTTGATGTTTTAGTGTTTGAATGTTTTCTTTAAATGTGATCTTTTTTCCATTACTGTTTAAATGTTTACCCGTTTCCAGTTTCTAATTTTACCATACATCATAGATTGTGTCAGACAGGAAACCGACTTTTCCATTTTATTGTTTGTGTTGTTTTTCGATTTGTATCACATCCTACCAAAGAAAGCGCTGAAATCAAGCAAAAAACACGCGTGATAGAAGATGATTGTTTATCGGGAGCAAATCCTAGAATACGGAAATCGTAAAATCTGTTGACGGCTGTCTGAGAAAAATACCGAATCCAAGCAACCTGAACGAAGATGGGTGGGTCCTCCTACACTGAAAAAGTATTGGCTGACCCAGTTCCTTAGATTTGTTTTAAGTTTACCAACGTTTTTTTTTTTTCTTTTTCTAACTTTCCGTTTGTTTTTGTTTATGATTTTTGTTCGGAAACCACACCACCGCCACCCGTTTTCTGTTTTTTTTCATACCTGGATTATTTTTGCAGAACTCCTCAATTAGGCCATCACAACCTTCACATCCTAGTAGTGGGCAGTCCCCACACCCACAACCACCAAACTCGCATGGACAGATGATGAGCGGCCAGGTTAGTATTGCGTTCTGTCAATCCTCTTCTCTTACTCTTTCTGTCTTTTATTATCGAGATTTGTTTTTAAGCCTTGGGTTTTGCTCCTAACGTCGTGTCTCTTTAGTTTAACCCAAAAGTTTAGGACCCTTTATTATGCTTTGATTGGAAAATTGGTTAAACTCAACGAAGGCACAGCAGCAACAGATTTATCTGAACCAAAATCGTTGTTCATAGTGGAATACAATCGATGATAACTCTTTTTAAAAAAAATGCCATCATTTTCTATCCTGATCATTCTCACGCCACTAACCATGTATGCTAACACTTGTTTTAAAAACCTAGTTGTATCAATGTTGTTCTATCTGCCATGAATGTTGTTCTGTGTCCTACCTATGTACAAACCAAACATAGTTCATCCCTATTCACCATTGAAGCCAACTGCGTAATTTATTGCTTAATATGTCTAGTTTTAGTATTTTGTAATACGTTTATTGACTTGCCTCTAGCCACTGCTGTGTTCATTATTAGTCACCGTAAACCGTACATTGCAAATAGTGCGTAAATATTTAACCAGCTCCCCCGGCGTCAATTGTGGAATGAATAGCTCCACAGCACAAAATAGGACCACAAGAATATTTAATCATACGAACAACCGAGCGGCAGCCAGCCAGCAGCAAAGAAGCGATTGATTCGATGATGATTGGATTGCTAGTTGGCAGCTGACTGACTGGTTATATTTATGTACAAAACGGGTTCATTTGAGTTTGGAGATAGAAACTATATGTCTACATTGCTGCACAGGGACTCCCACCCACACGCACCCATATGGGGTTATATCACTTAATATCGATCGCGTTAACGAACAACGATGAACGATGATTAGTTGTATACGAGGTCTATTTGTGGTGGATTAATTCGGGTGTTCTCGCGATTGAAGGGTTCAAGCCATAAATAAGTCAAGATTCATGTGGTTCGTTATGGGAAGGTTAACAATTTGAAGGCCCAGTTTTCCACTACAGGAATGGATGAACTAATCAGACAAATTGGAAGACAAAATTTGATTAATTCTTAGTAGATTTAAGGATGATTAATTGATTTTTTTTTTATTATAGAGACGTAGATTTAAGGTGATTCCTTGAAAAGTCCAAAGATAGCCGTCATGATGGCTGATATGTCTTATCACTTCAAGTTTTCTAGAGCATAAATCTCGGACGCTGTTGTGACATCTTTCATGAAATTGAAACTCCCTGTTTGCTGTACAGCATCAAACGTTAGGTTGCAGTTTCCTTTTTTTAAATCTTTATTTGTTCTAAATTGAAATTGAGCATTTGTTTGAAAGAATTAAATTGGTATTTCTTAAGATGAAAGTGGATCGGTTTAGAATCGAAAAAAAAAACTCTTCCGGGCAAAATTAAAGAACTAAAATTGCTATCTCTAGCAAGTTTTACGAGATTGATTTATTGTTTTTTTTTTTCCTTTATTTAACGTCGGTCTCTGTTCCGCAATCTAGTGCCAATCACCGACGGACATCGATTGCCCTCCATTGACGGCAATCGAATGTGCAGAAAGGCAGCTTCCACACCTGCGTAGGATATCGCATTCATTCAACACACATGGGCCGGGACCAACGACTTTACTTCCCTTCCGAAGGAAGACGTCTTCTTCTTCTTCCTCGCTTTTCAAGCTTATTGCGTATGGCATATTTTACTTTTTTGCGTGCTCTCAACTTAGTGTTCTAGATGCACTTCCACAGTTATTAATTGAGAGCTTTCGATGCCTGTACCATTTTTGCATTGGTATAATTGTGTGGCAAGTCCAATCATACTTCTATGCCCAGGGAAGTCGAGAAATTTTCCAACCCGAAAAATTCCTAGACCGAACCGGGAATCGAATCCAGCAACCTCTAGCATGGTCTTGCTTTGTAGCTGTACCACCGATTGAGCTAAGGGAGGTCCCGTGACCAGAGATTTGTATGCCTCAGAAAAAACCCACCGACCTCGGGGCTGGGATTGAACCCAGACCCATTTGGGTGAGCAAGCAGTTACGCTTACGACTACACCACCGGCGCTGGCTGTTTAAATTTTCTGAAAACCATTTTCTAAGTTAATTTTTAGAACCACAATCATAGTGGTCGCTAACTTTGCTCATCAATTACACAAGTATTTCGTATGAAAGGTCATATTTCACTCCCGTAGATCGTTTCAAAATATTGTTAGTAAAATTTTCTCCGAAGACAACATACCTGTAAAATGCATTATTTCAATACGAACATTTTTTTTAACACAATTCCAATCATTAGATTTCGTTTTCCTAACCAAACATCTGGCTTTTGCATGTATCTGTGCGTAAGCATGCTCCAGGTTGAAGAACAATGTGATTTGAAACGCTCGCACAAAACGAACCAAACAGAGAAGCGAAAAAAAAGCCACACGACGCACATCGGAGTATTTGTTCTAGAAAGCTGGCCAAAAGTCCGAAAAGCGAAAAGTATGAACCAACTTTTGTTCGATGTTTTTAGTAGCAACACATCTTGCTCATGGCATAACCACTACTTTGAACCAACTTAATGAGTTTTCAAACCCTCCCACCTGTCAATATCTTAGCTTCTGGTGTAGTCAGTTGGGTGGTTTATTAAAGTGCGTTCTTTTTATCGCGCGGTGTTAAAATGCGAAAACTTGAATTTAAAAGGTGCTTAACAACATTAATAGAATTTATAACGGTAAGCAGATTGTTTTTGAACAGTTTGCATTTTTCAACACCTAATTTGAACTCATAGTTTTGTCATGGGCAGCAACAATGCAATGCATTTGAAAGAAGTTAGCAATTTAATGAAATTTAAGTAACGGTTTCTACACATTTCGGGCACTTCTGGGCAAGTTGTAATACACCATTTGAAAGCTCAGTGTTTAAGGAATACAATTACATACTAACATCATCCTCATGTTTCCTCTTTTCCGATTTATAATCCGATTTCAAAAAAAGATGGATTGCCTCCCTTTATCGCTAAAGTTTTTTCATCAGTACCAACCACGAATGGTTGAATTCTGAAATTCAATTCACTTTTTAGGTTCCTCCGGCAAGGCATGGACGTCCAACTAAGAAGTTTGAAGATTCAAGTGAACTTCAGAACTCAGAGCAACCGATTCGGTTAACGAATTGACACATGCTGTTCAAATGGATCAGCGAGCTGTTGGAAATACAGCTGCTGCAAATGTAATAAAATCAGTAGCAGCATTCCCCTCGACAGCTGCGAAACTTAATCGAGTTATCCTTAACCCCCATCCAAAATATCCTCGTCAACATAAGCCTGAAGAAGTTTTACCTTTTTTTGTTGAGGCTGACTTGACGATAAAGCAATATGAAGTTATTTACATGGCAGATAAATCGATCTACCCATGTTATTCGGTTTTGAAACAAGCAAAGAATCACTATTACCCAAAGGAAGAAGCCATTACAGTTACCGAAATACTCGCAGAAGTGCGTCTGGATCTACTGGATCACACGGCATTACGGCTTTGCAAGTATCTGGATGAAGTTTTGGAGCAGTTATCGGACGAAGAAAAATGCAGTATGCAACTGGTTTCCAAGTGGGGGTGTGACGGATCTCAACAGGCACAGTATAAGCAGAAGTTTGACGATTCGGAAGCTGATGATACAAATATTATCCAAAGTTCATTAGTACCAGTTCGACTGATTACTAGAGTTGGTATGGCAGAATCCTGTTCGGTCATCGCCAAGAAATCGCCGTCCAAAAAGGATTCGTTTTGTTAAAGAAACTAACGATATTACTGTTGAGGAAATTTCGTATAGAACCTTCAAAAAACGGAGATCAGGACAAACAACGATAAATTAGTAAAAGTTAGTCATGTCTTATTTCCAACAATGGTGGACGGCAAAGTACTTTTTTGACAATGAGATGCTACATTTGTGGAAAAACTTCTAAGACCTTCAACAGTCTTGACGAACTTCAGCCCTCTAATCCAGAATCGTTCAAATTTGGATTGTCGATTTAACATGCAAGGATTAGATTTTTTGAATCGTTGTTGCATATTTCTTACAAACTAACTATATTAGTTACATCAGGTCAGAGATCCTGAAGAGAAACAAATAGTTAAGCGCAGGATACTTGACGTTCAGAAAGCATTCAAATCTGAAATGGGGCTAATAGTTGACGTTCCCAAGGCTGGTTTTAGAAACACTAACGACGGCAATACATCACGAAGCAGCCATAACAGGACTTGACGCTGACATTCGTCTCATTCACCGGTTGAAAATTATTATTGAAACAATATCATGTGGCTACCAAGTTTACGCTGACAAGTTTGCCACATTTGCAATGGAAACCGCCAAGCCTATGACACCAACACTACATAAGATTCTTGCGCATGGAGCAGAAGTTATCCGTCATGCCTTACTACAGATCGTTCAACTTTCTGAGGAGGCTGCGGAAGCAAGAAATACACATTTTCGAAACTTCAGACTTAATTTTCTAGAATCCAGTGCAACAGGGATGTGTTGAACAAGCTTCTTCTAAGCTCAGATCCGTTCCTCAGCACCTCTAGACAAACACCAAGAAAGGAGAGCAAACCTTTTTCTACAGAAACGCTGCAGATGTTGGCAAAAATTCAACGGCAGGGGAGCGATCGTGATGGAAGCAGTGCTGTAGAATGTTCCGGAAAGGGTTTTGATTCAGATGCCAATAAAATGTGATCGAAATGTTTGTAACGATACACTCAAACACACTCACACACACGCACACAAATTGAGAAAAACAGAATAAATAGAGAAAAGTTCAATGTGCACTATTAGGGGGATTGACTTTTTTTCACTTATATTGATGGCAACTAATCTAAAATCAGATTTCTATCAAACTTTCAGTTAATCTTCTTGAAAAATCAGGGATTTAGATTTTTGGCCACCTTTTAGGGTCAAATACTCCTCTGTGCGACAGGGCGATCCATTCATGAATAAGCAAGAAAAAACCAGCAGCAGGATCAAGCTCGCGCGTGACTTTTTTT